TCAGGGTGTCACTGAGGGTGTCAAGGTGACGATGATGGGACCACAGAGTGTCACTGAGGGTGTCAGGGTGTCCCTCAGGGTGTCAGGGTGCCAGCAGGGGTGTCCCCATGCCCCCCCAGGCAGCCTGTGGAGCACCCCAGGAACACGTCAGGGTGACAATGAGGGTGTCACTGAGGGTGTCAGGGTGACAGTGACAGGATGTCGGGGTGACAGTGGGGGCGTCAGGGTGTCCCTGAGGCTGTCAGGGTGTCCCTGAGGGTGTCCCCATGCCTCCCCAAGGCAGCCTGTGGAGCAGCCCTGAGGACATGTCAGGGTGACAGTGACAGTGTCACAGGGTGTCCCTGAGGCTGTCAGGGTGCCATCCCTGTGTCCCTGTCCCCCCAGGCAACCTGTCAAGCAGCCCTGAGGACATGTCAGGGTGTCCCTGAGGGTGTCCCTGAGGGTGTCAGGGTGTCAATCAGGGTGTCCCTGAGGGTGTCCCTGAGGGTGTCCCTGAGGGTGTCAGGGTGTCCCTGAGGGTGTCCCTGAGGGTGTCCCTGAGGGTGTCCCTGAGGGTGTCCCTGAGGGTGTCAGGGTGCCAGCAGTGGTGTCCCTGTGTTCCCAGGCGTCCCTGAGGATGTGTGTGAGGCTGTCAGGGTGTCACTGAGGGTGTCCCCGTGCCCCCCCAGGCAGCCTGTGGAGCAGCCCTGAGGACATGTCAGGGTGTCAGGGTGACAGTGACAGTGTCCCAGGGTGTCACTGAGGGTGTCTTGCCCCCCCAGGCAGCCTGTCGAGCAGCCCCGAGGACATGTCAGGGTGTCAGGGTGACAATCAGGGTGTCACTGAGGGTGTCCCTGAGGGTGTCAGGGTGACATTGAGGGTGTCCCTGAGGCTGTCAGGGTGTCCCTGAGGGTGTCCCCATGCCTCCCCAGGCAGCCTGTGGAGCAGCCCCGAGGACACGTCAGGGTGACAGTGACAGTGTCACAGGGTGCCATCCCTGTGTCCCTGTGTCCCCAGGCAGCCTGTGGAGCAGCCCCGAGGATATGTCAGGGTGTCCCTGAGGGTGTCCCTGAGGGTGTCAGGGTGGCACTGAGAGTGTCAGGGTGCCAGCAGTGGTGTCCCCGTGTTCCCAGGCGTCCCTGAGGATGTGTGTGAGGGTGTCAGGGTGTCACTGAGGGTGTCCCCGTTCCCCCCCAGGCAGCCTGTGGAGCAGCCCTGAGGACATGTCAGGGTGACAATGACAGTGTCACAGGATGACAGTGCTGCTGTCCCTGTCCCCCCAGGCAGCCTGTGACAATGACAGTGTCACAGGATGACAATGCTGCTGTCCCTGTCCCCCCAGGCAGCCTGTGAAGCAGCCCCGAGGACATGTCAGGGTGACAGGGTGACAATCAGGGTGTCACTGAGGGTGTCCCCGTGCCCCCCCAGGCAGCCTGTC